ACGTTTTTTCTAACTTCAAACCATGCACCGTCATCTGTAAGCCTTCCTCCCCTCTCATAAGGCTGCGTGGTACCGCGGGAGAGCGTGAAAACAGGTGGGCAGTATCCTCCGAGAGGATGGGGTGAGCGTCTTCACGGGAAAAGAAAGGCCGAATTCTTAGAAAGTCCCTCTTTTATGCATGCACGTCTTTGTCGCCCTCCTCACCCCCTACGGACTATAGCGAAAAGCGAGGGCTGTGCGACGACAGTCAGAAGAAAGCAGAAAAACGAACGACAAACGAGCGATACCAGCGAACTGAGCAGACGTGCGTGGGTAAGGTATTTGTAAATATCTTTGTAAGGTAAGGTATTTGTGAATATTTGTGAAAAGAGAGAAAGGCAAAGGAAAGGCTTATATGCTACCCTACACGGGGAGGGGGAAGGGGAAAAAAGAATAGAGAAAAATGTCAAGGGCATGCGGCACCTGCTGACAATTCGTCATTGGGAAGTCTGCCGTGCGGAGAACTGTCAATGCGTCAAGATAGCAGCTCCTTGACTCGTTAGCGTGAGTCATAAGGCTGACGAATAGAAATAGCCGATCTTGGACTTACGCCTTGTAGCTCGAAAAGAACAGAAACGTTTCTGAAAAGGATAAGTTTATAAGAAAGTGTGGTGACATCGGTGTGCATAAAACATGTTTACATGAGTGCGAAACATGCACTTCGCATTCATGTAAGCAATGGAAGGCGCATTGCACTAATGCGTAGGAAATGGGCAGTTTTGTGAGTGCCGGTCGATTCACGGGCCGTAAATCACGATGAGGGGAATGGTGGCCCCCCGTTGTGCGAACTTCGTGCGTCCCTCTTTCGCTATAAGGAATTAATATTAGCTCAAGAAAACAAAAACACTCGAGAAAGAAGTGGGACGAAGCAGAAATGTCGGGAGCTGAGATATTCCTGCCTCCTGCCACTCCTTTCTCTAGTCATTGTTATTTTGCTCGCGCTAATATGTACCTATTTATATAGTGGTTGATGACGCAGAAAATTGTGTGAATTTCTGTTTCCCATGCTCGAGGCACGACTAAGCTAATGAGTTATTTTTTTTAATTTTTTACATAAACCAACTCGCCCAGCTACAAGTCGCTGTAATCCGATACTCGCTCGCTGTAATCCGACACCACATGGTAGCTGCGGCGTACAGAAGACAAGAGGTCCTGCAAACGGCGTCGCATCACCTTTCCGAAACGCGCTTGCAAAGTCGATGGGCTACTCTGGCATTCCTGTAAAATTGATTACAGCCTGACAGCTCGAGGCAACTGCCAGTCAGTCGGCTGCCAGCTGGGGCGACTAACTAAATTCATTCAACAAGAGGCCGGCACGCCGTCTCCACGGTTGTTGGGAGTGGGGTCCAGTTCGTCTTTCCTCGATAAGAAAGCACGTTTGCGTATAGCCGGGCGTCGACAGTTTGCCGTAAGCCGGCACGGCACGCACAGCGTTTATACGAATGCGACAACTGGCGCATCACGACCATGTAAACGAGGCTAATGCGCTAGAAAGACGTATCGCACAAATGCGCCAGGCAGGTCTGGATTTCAAGGGGTAAGTCGACCCAGAGTACTTTTCACGACAAAAGAACGCCGACCACTCATCGTGTTGGCCTTGTGTGTACTTCTCGCACACTACAAGACAGCTGCGAGGACAGAAAGCAAGAGCTTCTCGGGACTAAAGTCCGCTAAATTTTTCTCTTTTACCTAAGTAACGACAACTTCCTCCTCTCCCGACCCTCTCTCACACACAGCCGGTGTCTGCCACCATGTGCTTCCTAACTAGGAAGACTTCCAAAGCCACGTACGTATAAGTAAATTAGCCACGCGCCTATCAGTGAACAATGTGCGAACGCGACGCACCTTTCTCCTCCAGCTAGTCCCCCGTCAATAGTGAGCGAAGAACGCTTTTTACCAGGTGCTGGAAAAGCATTAGGAAGAATATGGCCACCGCAAACGAGCGCTCCACGATGAGATTCCTCAGCGGCGCTTCAATGACGGTCGGTACTTAGCAACGAAGAGAAAAAAAAATGTAGGGGCTTTACGCGGGACAGTTCATGCGCTCCATGTAAATTGTAGCTTATCGCAGTGCTTGTGGTGCGCTGCCGTTGCATTCTGTCGCACTCATGCAAACGCAGCTCGAATGCGGTACTGTTTCCTACAGGAACGTCGTCTAATTGCGATGTTGGGGAGACAAGGGTTTCCCGAAGGTCAGTGGACTGACCAATCCTTCCATGGGAAGAAGGGGTGCCCAAGGTGACACCACTAACACCTGAATAGTCTAGATGGCCTCGCACGAGGGCAGGAGATGTGGAATAACAGCCACTATGCTAGCCTGAAGGTGCGAGGCAGCATGACGAGGGGGGAGGCGGACTTAGTGAGGATGAGGACGGACACAAAAATGCGTGCTCAGCACGGAAGGCGACAGTGCTGTAGTAGCGTAAGACACTAGAGATAGATTTTGAGCGCACTTTCGTGTTGGGGCAACGCCAAGTGCGTCTGTAGTTTCGGCCATCTGCAGTTGTAGCTATTTACATATTTCCACGCAAATTGCCAGCGCTCGAGCGTTACGCATACCACTTTGTGCATTGCAGGCGTCGCGAACCAAGCGAAATGCCGAGAGCCCCGTTACGACAAGCGAAGCCAGCCGCAGTGCACGTGCCAGCCCTGCACGCGCGCGAGCTGCTACGGGAGGGGGGGGGGGGGGGGGGCTAGCAAGCGTGACGGAGGAAGAAGGCGAGGTTAGAGGCCAATGGCGAGTGACATCAGCAGACTCCGCGTTCGCTCTCTTTCGTCCTTGTTCGCTCTATTGGTTACGCCGACGACGCCAACAGGCGCCGCCGCTCAACGCAGCAGTATGTGCGTAAGAGCTTCGCTCTAAAGAACTGCACATTAGGAGAACGACCTTGTATATATTGAATGGCAGATGCAGGCTCAGATTTGACGATAGCAAAGACTCTCTCTCGAACAAGCTATGAGGTAGCAATTCACTTCTTTGTGTCGGGTGTGTCATCAGCCATTCACGTGCGTTCTGCAGCAGCAATGACCGAGAGACATGACCACAGAAGCGCCAATGAACTTTTGTAAAAAGTTCGTGTGTGATATAGAATAACGGAAAATAATAATAAAACATACACCTTCATTCTCTGCTGTCACAAGTTCGCATCTGAAAGTCGTGATTATATGTACTTTTGCTTTGTGCGATTTCACATTTCTCTGAATGCATGCGTTGTAGTTCTGCGGGCTTTTTTGTGTGTGTTATGTTCAGGTGTCTTCGTGGCTGTAACCAAGTGCTGCCGACGCTCGTTTCGTACTAAATAAATTGTCACAACAACGTGTATTGACTCAATCTTGCTTACTGCATGACAGCCCTTCATTGCATAGCATATACACAACACTAAGACTCGTTGCTTGAAGATATGTTAGCCGACATAGTTATTTGAATTGACCAATCATGCATCCAAAAGCCTTATCCAGTGCAACAAGACCTTTTCTTCAACTCCTTTGCAACTATTGTATTTGTGTACTCATGTTTTTGCCTTGCATGCGCTTTACGAACTCGAAATGGGTACGACATAGAAGTAATACAAGCAGCGGCTGTGTAGAAAGATGCATGGGAGATGCACTGTACCATAAGTCTTCCCCTCCCTTGTTGCACTCCTGGGAGGTTTGTGTGAATCCGCCCCAGTTTTTATCATGAGATGTTTATAGAGCTTGAGGTAACGGCCTCGAATCTACGAGCTTGCAGTCAATAACTGATTTGGTCTAAACGATCACTCTTCATGTTATTGCCACGACCTTTACAGGAAAAAAAAAATGATGTTGAAATAGCGTACGCGAATAGAGAAGTCGTTCCTTGGACAAGGGAATAACGCACCTGGACCATTCAGGCCACGCATGTGCGAGTCTCGCTCATATGACACACAAGAGGTAATTGCTTCATTTTCGTCATAAAGATAGTTTGTCGACTAGTCCGATGGTTTGCGTACGGCAACGAGATAAATAAATGCTGCATCAACCAAAACATGGATTCATACTAGCCTGCTGAAGTTTCAATTCTAATGAAATAAATTACGCTACGTATAGTGTGAAAACTAATGATTATGCAGTCGGCACGTGTTGGGCACCGTGAGTCACAGCGGCCGCACTTCTTAGCACGCGATTTGCCTAACTACCCGTTTATTTGTTTTTTTTTTTGAAAATTTGGAAGCTTAGGTCATACTGGGAAGGAAGTATACATAGTCAAATATAATTTGCCTTCTCCTGTCCCACCGAACCGCATCATGCTCCAGCAACCCCAATTATTTGTAGAACGAACTGTTTCGTTGAACCTCGCATGAATACTCATAGTCCAAGTTTTGATCTCCATTGTATACATTGTTGTGACATCCGCGATAAAATTTTTCACTCAACCCCGCATTCCGGCAATGTATGGAACATAGAGCAGCTGGCCAAGCAGGCTACGCAGCCTACATGAGGGATCTCTTGAAAAGCAGCGACCGCAGGGGTCAGGGGCTAGTGAGCATGGAGGGAGATGCAGGTGTCGTTGAAGGGGAGAAAAAAAAAGCCCCTGCTCAGTGCCTCATTTCTTCGAACCGTGTCAGCGCGATTTGCACCTCCTCGTCATGCAGTGTGGCGCGCCGGCACACGTGTGGCAGTTCACCTCCGAAATGTTGGCCTTCCAGTCCTGACTTGGTGGCGCCGTCTGGTATTTTTTCCAGAACTACTCGCAATATGGCGACTGTAGAACCGCCACCTTAAAGCCTCTCACAACGTGTTTTTACACGTGTTTCTTTTGTTGCTGACCAGGCTTGTGGTGTTGCGCATATGACGACAGGTCTCGCTACTGGAGATCTCGAGCTCAAGTTCTGTCGTCCGTACATGCTTACTAGTGTTTACTCACTTATTTAAAACTGGGTGCATGATGCGCGTGGATGCACAATGGAAGGGCAGGATTTCTTAATTTTCTGCACGTGCAGGTCTCGATCCGGCTGGCCCATTGTTCGAGTACTTCGGCGTTTACCTGCGCAAGGAGCACGCCGAATTCGTGGACATCATCCACACCAGTATGGGCATGGGCTTCAATTCGTTCCGCGGCCGCCTGGGCATGACCAAGAACTCGGGTCACGTGGACTTCTACCCGAACGGGGGCAGTCGGCAGCCCGGATGCCGAAGCTTTGGACGTATGTCTCACATGCTTACTTTGTCACCAAAAGGACCCGTAGGCTGGGGGGGGGGGGGGGGGGGGGGGGGGCTCTAAAGTTCGCTGGTCACTATTCTACGTATATCTGTAGAAGCGTGGCCTGCGAACTTTAGATCATCCTTGTACATTTCTTCATGCATAATAAAGTCATAATTTAATACCGCTATACAATATTAGAGACGCAGGGCATACGGGACATGCACGACTTCGCAGATTATCTATTCCTAAGCTAATTGTCAGGTTATCTTGGCCATCCGCTATAATAATAGAAACGTTATCTTCACTTAATCTCAATTCAGTAAATAAGATGTCAACCAGCTATTTAAAGTGAGTACTTTGTTTTTCTCTCACAGTACTGTACTGCCTCAGTCGGCTTTCCTTATCGTGTATGGTGTGGTAATGCTGGAGATAGCACAGAAGAAAATTGGTTTACTCCTTTAAGTTTGAATAGTTCTCTAGCTAACAATGCCTTAACAAAAGTGAACGGTCACTTCACGATTGCTTTTTGCGGGTACAGCTTGCGCTCAATGCTTGAGTTGTTACGAAGTACAAAAATAGATTTCGTGAGAAATTGGGAGGTTACTTGTATACTAAAGTGAGGCTAGACCTGTTGCTTCGGATTGGATATCGCCGTCATTCTGTATAGTTGCTCCAGAATTGTGGCCTAGAACAGTGATGGCGGTACCCAGACGGCAAGACCTGGGCCGTAAAATAAAAAAAAAAGAGAGAGAGAGAAATAGAGAGAGAGAGAGAGAGAGAGAGAGAGAGAGAGAGAGAGAGAGAGAGAGAGAGAGAGAGAGGGGGCTCTCACCCCCACCGGATTGCCGTGGGAGTGCTTGCTTTCGCTTTAGTCAACGACAGAGCTGTTTCAAGAAAATGGCAGGAACGCGAGTCCAGGTCAAAACCTCCTTTGTCCAGGCCAGTCTGGGCACCCAATGAACCAACGCACTTGGATTACCCGGGAACGTTAGAGAGCATGGCAGTTAGTGTAGAGCCACAAATTTTTATCGCAGGGAGGGGGGGGGGGGCGGATCGAGGAGTAGATATATTTTGTGTGTTGGTGCGGGCTGCGTTTGTATGAGCGCGCGTACATATGCACGTGAGAGATTGGGGAAAATGTTTGGGGGGATGTTTACAGCCCTCAAACCTCCTTTCCCCCTCTCTATGTCCTGGCTACGTTAAGTCTCTAAATAAGGAGGTATACGCTGGGCGCGACTTACAACAAAGTTCATCGGTAGTACAGCAAGAAATTTCCCGCATTACTAATTCTGTGCATTATTAACTGTTTTCAGCTGCGTATTCTATCTCACTCTCTATACGTAGGTCCGGACTGCTCCCATTCTCGGGCCACCCTGTACTACGCCAACTCCATTCGCACCTGCAGCTACCCGACGTTGCTGTGCGCCGACTACAATGCTTTCAAGAACCATCGGTGCGCGCCCTGTGACGAGGCGCCCTGCGGTGTTATGGGCCACAACGCCAGTGCGAACTTGAGGGGGAAGCATTTCCTCAGCATATCATCCGCGTACCCGCACTGTCCAGGCGGCGCCGTGGCGAGAACCGCTTCTTTAGTCGTCATTTTCTCGTCTCTTTTGACTGTGTCCACGAGCTTTGCCGCTACTGCGGGAGACAACCTGAGGATTATAAATAGTCTTCACACATAGGGGGCCCACTTAAGTACATAGTAGTTGGGCGTATGTAGGCCCACTAGGCCCCCGCCTATAGTCAGCCATAGCCTAAGGCTGTGACGCACAGCAGGACCAAGCAGACCTTATAGAATGAGTACGCGTAGACAGTACAAATGCTTCGGGACAAAAAGCTTTTACCTTGAGTTAGTACATATCTTACGCAAACGTTTCTTATATGTTATGTCAGCTAAAACTGTGTTAGTGACTAGTACGGACAACAAATTACGGGGGATGCTTATAACAACAACGGGAACTCTCGGACAGTCTACGCTAGATATTTTGTGAGAGAAAGAATTATTTATTTATTTATTTTTCACTGTATTAGGGCTTGAAAAAGCCTTTATAGTCGATCTTTTGTAAATAAGAGTGACGTTCGTTCATTTTTGCAACACCATAATAGTCAGCTCCATTGAATGGTGTCAAACAGAAAAAAAAAAGAATGTAAGTAACAAGCATGTAAGAAGTTGGCATTTAAAATTAAGGTGTGCGAAGACCTGAAACGGTGAAAATGTTTAACGTGTGTTTGATTAAAAATATCTACGATTTTTTTTAACGAATGTCCCACTGGTACGTTAAACTCAATACCTTAACTCCTTAGGATGAAGTCATCCATATATTGCTCACAATTCCTCTATCACCTGACCTCATTTTCTTGTCATTGATTGATTAATATGTGAGGTTTAACGTCCCAAACCCACCATATAATTATGAGAGACGCCGTAGTGGAGGGCTCAAAAAATGTCGACCACCTGGGGTTCTTTAACGTGCTTCTTGTCATTGGAACACACGAATACATGCAAGTGGCACTTCCTTAATACTGTTCTGCTACGGCTTACGTGACAGTACGTCTTGTGTATATGTCAGGCAACGCAACCAGTAGCGTCCGGCAGACAATCGGAAATGATTCTGCGCACTCTCTGAGCAAATGTGCAAAAGCTACTGGAATGCACGCACCGATTTAGAACAGCCACAATGTGACGAACATGTTATATACGCCCTCTTTCAATTATCATCGACGTTCATTGCTCGCCCCTTTTCTACGTTTCAACGCCCCTTTTTCTAACTGCAAGGAGCAGTCCAGAGCAATCTATAGCGCATGCCGACCTCTCTGTTTTTCTCGGTCAGCTGTGAGTTAAAAAATAAAAATAAAAATATCACGTGCCACGTGAAGCCAGCTGGCGGAGAAAGGCTTTTCCTCATTCGCCGCTTTGACTGCGGTTGGTGCTGACTAAAACTACCAGTTTTAAATACACAGATATTACTGATGAAGTGGGCAGTGGCATTACTACTACCGTAACTCACCTGTTAGAACATCAGACGCGTAATTCGAAGATCGAAGGTTGGGTTCCTGTCTGCGGCAAGTTATTTTTTCGTTCAATTCTCTTTCTTCCTACTTACGTCATAATCACTACTATTAATATTCCTTGTGCTTTTCTTGGCATTATTGAAGGTTAGTTCTTATGAATGTTGTGTCTAATGAAGACATATTAACCCCTAAAATTTCTGCCGGTTTCTTTCTCCAGATAAGCGCTTCTCCCTTTGCAAGTATAACCATGCCGGTGCAAAACTCGTGTTTAGAGACACTGATTGTTTTTTTTTTTTTTGACGGATGTCACACGATTGATCGTGGCCGCTGTTCATATGTTCAATACTGTCGTGTGTTTGTGACTGTGAAGAGCGCAAAGTTAACACCAGTGAGAACTGAAGTCTGTATTGGTAAAGCATGGGCCAAGCGCACACTAACAGTAGCATGCTATGGTGAGACCAATCATCAATTGTCGAGAATATAATTCACATACCTGTTTAAGCGTGAATCACAGTACATTGTTTGTGTTGTGGGCGTCTTGATATTAGAGACAATCGAAAACATTTGAAAATGTTCTGATGCATTTAGGTTGAATAATATTTAGTCACTGCTAATCAAACACTCCCTTTTTTTACGGTCGGCGGTGCTTCGCCACAAAAACACTACTAATGCAGAGAAGCTTCAGTGGCAGACAGGAACGTTTACTTTCTTTTTAAGTAACGCTTTTGTTTGGACCAGTTGGTGTATACTTGGAACATAATGAATGGTAGCGCTAAAATACACGGACTATAGGACGAGATATCTTTGCCCGTGTTTCTCAAGGACACAAGGATTTGTGCGCGTTGCGAATATACGAGCACAAAATTCTATCATATTTTTTTGGTGCGTAACTCAAGTAATCAAAAAAATAACAACGATAATCACACATAGTAACGCAAATTCTGAGCACAGCTTCGTGTTGGGACAAGGTCAACTGTGTTTGAAGTTTGCCTTTCTGCAAAATATCCACTACGCCTAAAACCATATATATACTTTTTTTTTGTAAAGTAGGACAGCCGCCACTACGCCAACACTCGTCTTTGTGCGCATAAGCATGGTACTCGCTACGCATCTGTTGATGCTGCGTGTGGCTGATGACGACAAAGAATCAAGAATGATCCCTTCTGTAGTGGGTGGGAGACATAAAACTTCGCACTCGTTGCGTAGCTAGCATCTTGTGATTCCTGGTAGTTATCTTAATGGACCACGATATATGACATAGATTAACGTGATTCCTTGCCCAACATGATGCCTCTATAGGGTAATTTTGCTAATGAGCTTCAAGTACCGGCTGATCTATGTAGTAAAGCAAGCGATTGCCATGCAAAGAGCCCGTGCTCTAATCTGATTTAATTCCGAGTACTTTTTTTTCTTTTTCAAATGTTATTTATTCATGTCTGTCGGTAAAACCACCGACTGCAACGATGACTGCGACGTCGCTCAACTCAGGAACGTACGCCTGAGCTGCGCTCAAAGAGCGAGACATTCTCATTACGATATTTTGTCACAATTTGTCATTATTGTTTTGCTTGACTTCGGCAAACTTGGTGCTTTGGCCACGACACATCTCTATGGGTTGAGAACAGGTCTGATTGCCTTTTTGAAGCTTATTAATTTTATATACTTTCTTTGCAATGCGACCATGTCGATGATTACAGACTGTATTTCTTCGCACGGGGCAGCGAAATCCGTAACCCAAGTAGGAAGTGCGATACGGTTGCACGGCGCTAACATCAATGTCGGTGAGCTGCTTGTGCCGTTATCAAAGCACCATGTGGCTACATTTACTACTTGGTTCTTACATAATCTTTGTCGCGTAGTTGGTAAAGACCGTGCACCTTGCTATCACGACGTATGTACTGTTCTGTGATAACGCTGTAGGCATGCATCTGTAGCTCCTGCTTCCACACACGGATGAGCCACAATGCCTTCCATGTGCTGCGTATAATCTCATCCCGATAAGCAACCGTACTTTAGCTACATGATTCGCCAACAAAATTACCGCTATTTTGGGACTCGCCCAATCGTGATTTTAGTGGTAAAGTGTTGCAATTCATCGCTTGAAATACTCTAAATGGTTGAAACGCAGTGAACGCGTTATTTGCCAGCGTCGACATCCTGATGCTCGTAGACGTTCCAAAGCCAAACCATGGAAACCATCAACGGGCTGTGAACTTGGCAGCTATACCGACAACTGTAGTTGACCCATACTACAACCGGAAACACGTGTTGAGCAAACACTGAATAGAATGTGCGTTCGTGGGCTTGCAAAGCGCCCACATTATTATTGCAGTGCGAAATTTCCTCGCAGAACCGCGACTTGGTGTTTGAGCGAGCAAGTACAGCCATGAACCATCAATAATAAAGGACGCAGGAACAAACATTGACTTCATTTCACAGCTGTTTTCTGCAGTTTCTTTACATTTTCGATGCTCACGGCCTGGTGCATTCTTTCTAGTGCACGCGCGTGGCCATATCTCGAAATACTGACGTTTTTTTTGTTCGCTTCATTTCGATGTTATTTTTCCTCTATTTTTAAACGAAACGGCACACCACGAAAAAAAATGCAAGAACGTGTGTTGTATTTAGGTTCCTCTACGATTCTGCGATAAAAGTTGAAATTGGACGTGGAATACAGAGAGGAGGAGAGAGAGAAGTCGATCAGGCGGAGCAAGGACATGCAAGCCACGCGATCTTATTTTCTCGTGGAAACACGGGAAGATTTATCGCTTTTCTGCGTTTATGACTTTGCTACTTCGCTGGGGGTTCCCGCGCAAGAAACAGTGGCCGAGTCAGCACAATCTTCGACGTTGGCGCCTTTTCTCTCTCTTTTTTCTTTCTTATCTAAGAGAGGGCTACGCTGCTGCTCCTTGACACGAAGGTGTAGAGCGCTGCTGGTCGCGGTGGTCTCTGTATAGCGTGCGCGGTTTGAAGCACCAAATAACGCAGGAGAAAAGGTGAAGCGAAAGAGGGGGTGTTTTCTGGTAGAGGCGAGGGGAGGGAATCGGATACATTATGCATGCGAAAATGTGCTCAGTTTCCTGCATATGAGCGCGCAGCGTGTTAAAGAATCGAATGAGAGCGAGTGAGCGAAATATATATGTGTATGTAGAGATATATGAAGAAAGTACGAAGAAGACAGCCTAGAAAGAAAGAAAGAAAGAAAGAAAGAAAGAAAGAAAGAAAGAAAAAGAAAGAAAGAAAGAAAGAAAGAAAGAAAGAAAGAAAGAGTGACATTGCAAAAATGGTACGTTGGTCGTCGCGGCCTGAGTTTTGTGTTTCTTTGCTGTCTTGGACAGCCGTTGTCCGTTCTTCGCGTAGGCTGTGTATGTTTTATGCAGACACTTTTCCGCGTATGAAAATTCGTTTAGAAGACGGGGGACGTGCCTATCGGAGCGCTGTAATGGTCGCCGAAATGAAAGCTTTCGTTCATTGTGCCTGTATTTGTATACGCGAGCGTACGCGCCAGTGCTTGCTTAGTTTCGAAAGAAAATAGAAAAAAATAAATAAAATGGGAGAGTGATGAGATGACGTCCACAATCAAGAATTCGCCATCGTTTTTATGCGTTCGCGTGTTAAGTTCGTTTCTCATTTTTCTTGCTGGCTCAGACTGGGCTACATTGCGCACTAAAGAGAAAGAAATATCTACGCTTCAATTTTGATATTTCACGTTGCCGTTAAACTCACCGTCGTCTGTTTGGGCCAAAGCCTTCGGCGATTCAACACAGTGAGCTTAAGTATGAAAAGTGCGCAGGTTATTTGAAGGGGTGAGCCCGATTTAATAAGAGCGCCTTTTTCCGAACGAATAAGAAAAAGGCGTGAATGCTTTTGGAGAGAGGTGCTCTAGTATCGTTATGCTGAGTTTTGATCCGGGTCAACGCGAAATGGCAATCGAAAGAAATGAAAGCAAGAACCACCAACTGGAAACTCTTCCATGGTTTCCTTATGTACATAACATTAGGCAGCGTTCAGCGGAGGACAATAGAAAATGCTGACTCGAGACCTCGGGATTATTCGTCGTAATCGCCGAGCTTACCTTAAAAATTTACTTATTAAGTTCTTAGCGGACGAAGTCCGGGAGGTTCACCTTTAATTGCAAAGGTCATTTGGAGAGCGTTTAGTACCCAGTTCAAGAAGAACACAAGCGTTTTACGTTAAAACTATTTGATCTCCGTAGCAGTAGCGGTCTGTGATGGGCCCCGAAAATTGTTT